CAAATTTAGTAAGGGGCTTAAAGTATTTAAGGGATATAAAAAAATAATGTTTGGTATTTGGTATAAAAGAACAAAATAATATGGTTGAAAAATTTATGGTTGAAACTGTAGTTAACCCAAAACCATTCAAAAAAAAAACCCCAAACCCTTAAAAGAAGTTAAAATGTGAATTCTGAAAGTTTTCTTCCAATCTTTCTTTAAAACAACATTTAAAAAAAGGAAAATTCTGTTAAGGGAAATTAAACAAAAACAGGGTTAATTTTTGCCTCTTTGGGAAGTATTAAAGGAAAACCTTTAAAGAGGGCGGGCAAAACTTGGGTTCTGTTAACAAGTAATTAAATGTATATTCAAATTGGAAACTATTTAAATTGTTAAATTGTGCCATGTTTTTTTGATAAAAAAACTGCAAAAACTTTTAAAACAATACTAACAAGTTGTAGGCATTGTTTGAAATAAATGATATAGTAAGTAAAGTATTTAAGGAATAAATAAATAAAATTTTTTTTGTGTTTAACAACCTTTTTTCCCCCACCAAGTGTTTATTTTCAAGATTGTAGGAAAAAATTGTTTCCCACCAAAGGAGCTTTTTGAAACAAAACCTTCCAAGTAAAATCCCCCAACTATCCAACTGTTTTAAAAAAAAAAAAAACTGGTTCGGTTTGGAGAAAAACCATAAGTGGATTTTCTCAATAAATTAGTGTTTGGAATTTCTGGAAGTTTTAAACAAAATTTCAGTATAAGGTCCTTTGTTCCCAATATCCGATAACAAGGCAGAACGGGAAAACCCCAACTTTTTCTTCTTTCCCTTTTCCTAAATTTCTTTGTTCTATTTCTAAACCCAAAATAAACAAAGTGTGAATGATTTTCTGCTTTTGTGTTTTTTTTTTCAAAATTGTTTGCAGGATTTGGGATTTTTCAAACAAAATTTTTTCTGGTTTTTGGTTTCCCCCAATGGTTTCCAAAACAAGAATTCCACTGCAAAAAACCAAAACATTTAAAACTTTCCCAAACTAATAAATTTACCAACGGGGACAAATTTGTTTTTAGTTGTTTTTTTCTCTTCAAAACCAACAACAGGAAGATGAGAGGAAAACAACTTGCAGGAATTTTTACAGTATGGAGAACTAGTTTCGTACATACCTCGCTGTCAAACTCACAGTTATTGGCAGAAGAAAAACAAAGAAAAGTCTCCTTCTCCATATTGGTCAACGAACAACTTGCTGCTGATGGTACAACGTATGTTTGTACTGAAGGGGAGGACACACAGACCTCTTTGCTCTGGTTTTTCTGGTTCATAAAACCTCAACCCTCAAACCAGCTGGGTTGTAACTTCTTTCTATAAAGGAAGCTGCAACAGGAGCTTCAGCTTTCAAAATTTAAGACTCTAAAAAGGTTAAAACAAAAGCAGATACAGAATAATGAATACAGAGAGATAACTGTGTATATGTGTCTACGGTAAGATTGGCAGATAGTTCAAAAAACATCAGTCTTCAGACTACAGGTTTGAGCTGGATCCATTAAGGTCCAACCAATTTATACTTCTTGCAACGTTAACAGTTCACAGGGTTAAGTAACAATAAAAATACATGACCTGCTGAACCGACGTATGCTTTGTGGTGATCACATACTGAGAGGCCTAAGCTTGAGCCTTTAAATAGGAAAAGCAACATGTTGTTGCCAGCTTGGAACCAGTGTTTATTCACACAGCACTGTTATAACTTGATTACAACTGTAAGGACAAAGTGATGAACAGTAATTATAGGTTTTTAAATGAAAAACAAACTTATTAACGGTAGTTGTGTGACTGCAATGGCTTCTTGGATATTTATTCTTCATACAGTCCAATGACACAATACATTTACATGCAGACGTTGTTTTAACAAACTTCAGTCTCAGTATTTTTTAAAAACACCTTCATATAACAATACCTTTACACAGAAATGTGTACCATTTTTCAACTTGGATCAAGTCTCTCTTTTGTCTATTTTTCCATTTTATCCAAAGTGGACAGTCACTATTTTACTGGCTGGGATTTGAGATAGTTGGTTAGAGATCACTTCTTGGGTACTGAAGGCTTTGTAGAGGTCATTCAGGGTTCATCTTGGTTCCTAATGAAAAAAAAACTAAAACTTTGATGGATCATGTCACTTTTAATCTTTACTACCTTGATATACACTCATTGCAAAGAAGTAGACAAACACAGTGCAAATCAAAGAAGGTTATTGAGGTTGGACTGCAATAAAAAATAGGCAGGAAATGTATGTTTGACTGTTGGTATGTAAGCTGGTGTATGTATTATTACAAACAAACTGGCTGCTTCCTTAAAGATACAGGAAACATAAGAATACATTTACTCACCAGAGAGGCCAGGAGGTTCACACACAAGATCAATCCAGATGTTGCTGACCTGAACAAGCATCTTTAAAATAAGAAGAATATCAGAGTTAGTGCGAACATAAAATACACAACAGAAATCTTCTCTTCATGTTCTAGAAAATGGTAACGATAATAATAATCGCCAGGAAGAGAAGCAAAATACTATAATACAGGTATCTTCTGAGAGAACTGCACAGAGAGTAATTATCCCAGTTGATTTAGTATCCAAATCCAAAGAAGCATATTACAATCGTAATAATCTCTCACCCATTACATTTTGTCCTGAGATTTTACCCGTAATAACTCCATTATATGATGACTATAACTACACCAATCAAAACACTTTGATTGGGAACTGGTGTTGAACTGCTGACATCTTCATCCTCTAAAATATTGAAAAGAAATAACATTTGTTAGAAAAATTACACTCATATTTGCTCTATATGTAACAAAACAATATGATTCCACTCTTTCCTGTTCAGTGTATAATGTAATATTATGTTACTGACAAATCAAAACACAAACGCTCACAAGTTATATCTCGCTCTATTGCAAATCTCACCTGATTGTGTCGTCTGCATTTTACATCTACACCACCAGCTGTGAGATTAGTGATCTCACAGGGAAATTGTAGATTGTAACCAACTGAAACTGCTCGCCTCAATCAACCGCAAAGGAGCAACTATGGTGGCTGCGGAGCCTGCGAAAGACCGAACTACAACCAGTGTTTGGTTTGTCTGAGTGTCTGTAGAAACAGGGTGGTTCAACATGGTGGACTGGAGGAGGACTTGTTCCCTCTTTAGATTAAAAACGGCTCATTCTAAAAACAAAATTCAGGTGATTATCAATGAAAACATACATGAATATTATATTCAATTTTTGCCAGTAGGTCCTCCTAAATGTTACACACTGGACCTTTAAGCTATGAATATAAAAGAAGCACACTAAAATAGACTTAAAAATGAATCAAACATTTACCTTCCACAGTGATATTCAGATGGAGAATATATGTTCCACCAGGACGTGAACACTCACAGGTGAAGTTCCCACTATCCACTGGTGTTAAACTGGTCAGGTGGAGAAACATAGTCTGATTCTCCATCATAAGTGTGAATCTGGAGTCACATTCATGCACAAAGTCCTTTCCATGTCGATACAGCAGACGACACTCTTCTCCCCCCATCTGTGTTCTGATCTTACAAACTACAAGTGTGATGATCTGCTGTGTTTCATTGGTGCAGATTGGAGTCACATCTGGTTTGCTCCCAATGGTTTTCACAAGAGTCACAAGAGTCGCTGCAATCAATCACAATCAAAAATCAACATGAAATACAATCATTGAGTTAGCACTTGATGTATTCATGCACTAAGTTAATTGCATGAGCAATGACAGTTTTCAATGGACAGTCAAATTACAGAAAATGTTATGTTGCAGTCTATGAACTAAAGACAGAATGATTAACAGAGAATAACAACATCTTGTATAATTTATAAATTATCAAAAGTAGCTCTTGTACAGTACCTGTGCTGCCGATATAAATAGTTAGCGGCAGAAGGACAACAAACCAATGTTTCCATCTACCCATACTGGTCAAGACGTCTAAACAACAGCGCAACTGCTGCTGGCGGTGTGCAACTTCCTGTATCGAAGTCAGGGCACACAGACTGTCCTTCAGTAACGTACATTCAAAGTGTGAACTCTTTTATAAAGGAAGTGCTGCGACAGGACGTTCTGCTTTCATGGTAAGACCCTTAGTGGTAAAACAGTCGCAAATGGGATGTGACTATTTCAGCGACTTTAAAACAAACAAATAACAAACAAATTCAGAAAAGTAATAAAAACTTATTATGCATATGTTAAATGCATTATAGACTCCATTTTTTATTCTATAAATTCAAATAGGTTTAATTTAATGCATAAGTACATATGACATCATATTGCCATTCACAAAATAAACTGTATGGAGTGCTGCTTGGGTGTAAAAAAAAAAAAGGTGACCCCCTTGTGCACATTTCTCACATATTTCCAGTCCAGTTTAAACCCTGGTTATCTTGATGTGACATCCCAAACTAAAGTGGACGTTCAATAACTGAGAATTGGTCTATTTTGGGGGAAGATGTGACATTAATATAGATTTTTATTTTGGTGAAAGCAAACCTCTATCTCAATTTTCCACAGAATTTAAAGGACACAAATCCTAGTAGTAGCTTAAATTACCGTAAATTACTGTTTTCAGTGCAGACACCAGCTGGAGGTTTTACAGTCATGCACAGTCATGACTCATGGCCATTTATAAAAGTTTCTGTGGTACCTGTGTTGTAGCTAAGGTAGCAGCTCTGAAAGGCCAACTCTGCATATATTCAGTGCAGCTGTCAAAAGCATGTCATTTTCAACGCATGAAATGCAGTGTTCATGCATTTGGTAAGAAGTCATTGGTACAGTCATATAATTTAGTTCAATTAACATATTCAAGCGTTCAGTATCTCTTTAATGTTGAGTATCAGCAAGTTTTTCAGCCATACAGGAAACCTATTTTGCATGTGTGCATTTTTTCAGAAGGAAGCATTTACAGTACAGTATTGTTTAAGTATGAAGAGTCTGTATTTGTGACAAAGTATAAGTTTAAAAAATGAAAAGGTAACTTAACACCCTAAAATAGCAGCCATGCAGACCAGTAATCAATATATGCAGTCATGTTATCTTGATGTTTGATTCAAAGGTTTTCATAGATTTCGTAATTTTGATCAGTCTCGTTATCTATTTCCTGATCAAAACTGGTCGCTGTTTTCTTTCTGGATGACTTTAGCTTGCTGTGCTGTTGATGGTGCACTGATGAGATATTCTGGTATAAATCACTTCCTGGCTGTTCAAGGCTTGCGTAGGGGTTTTCTGGGTCATCTGTGTCCTATTAAAAACATATAAAAGTGTATAATGAGGCAGCCTTTAAAGGTTGTAAAGGTTTATACATTTTAACTAATTGCTAAAATTAATTATTAATCAAGCCATTATTTACAACAAAAACATAAAATACTACTTTAAATCTTTCATAATTAATGAATTAGCTGTTCATTCAGGCCTTCAGCAGCCTGAGTGAGACAAATCAAGAGGATATCTTTTAATGTTACAACATTTTTAGACCAAATTCCCTCTTTGCCACTAGCATATCTCTCACTATCTATATCTGTTATATCAAATGATGTTCATAGAGCTGTTGTCACTGGTTTGGAGTTCACAAAAAGGCTTCCTCTATTGTTGCTCAGTCCACCTAAGAGACGTTGTGGTAGCCTAGTGGTTAAGAAACGTACCATACTGCACCAGGTATATATTTTTACATGTCAGACCCATTTTTCTCTCCCACTCATTATTTCCTGTCAGCACAGTCACGCTGTTCATTTTTACAGATAAAACAAAATGCCTCAGCTTAATGCCTTGAATGTAAAAATATGTGTACTGTATGTGTGAATACACACATTAAAATAGCTACTTAATACATTTAAAGACAGAGAGAAAAATAATGCGTGGCTCACCAGAGAGTCGGGGGTTTCACAGACAGATTGCCCAGATGCTCTAGACCGTGTATCGTTTCTGTAAACAAGAATAGAGGTCAGAGTTAGACATGGCACACGAAATAAACAGCTAAAAAGCTATTTTTTTATGTCTGTTTTAATTGTTCCTATAAGTAGTTTCATTTATTGACAATTTTGTATTTAATATAGAAATTGTATCATTTTACAAGGTTTAAAGGACACAGTCAGAAAGATTAATTCACCTGCAGCGTGTTTCTCTCAGGATACGTCTATGGAAAACTCCAGGCACAATGATGAATACGGCGATAACAATCACAATGATGGACCACGTCCCAGAAGAACTGCTGCTGTTCTGCACTTCATGTGATGCTGAGATTGTTAACATACATTGGAAAATAATAAGAGCCAAATTATTGTTTAAAACTTCCACAACAGAGAATATTTGTTCATCCACAAACATTAGTAAGCTTTAAATTCAGTATGTATTGCCAAAGTTACTACACTTATATATCTTGAAGAAATCAACCATTTACCTTCCACAGTGATATTCAGTCGTGGATGGTGGTGGATGTACAAGACATGACTTCCCCTACTTTAAGTTGAGACTCTGTAGGCGACTCTTTAAAACTTGTTTCAATGAAAGCAAGTTCCTGATGGTAACCAACCTTTATGGACCTTTATGAATTATTGTAATGTTTTCTTTCAAATAAACTCAAGCATCAAATGTGAGTTTGTTTGCTTTAGTTCAATAACAAAATATTAGTTGGTATTTTGGGACTATTTTGGAGGAAAATGAGATATATACAGTACTTGTTGTTCCCTAACACTGTGTATTTGATATTCTAGGTTAAACCCAGTGCCTCAGTTCCATCTGTATGCTGTATGTACTGAGTGAAGGTCATTACCAGGACAATAGCAACCTTCTGGGTCCAAAGGTAACGTCTGATCCAGGTGACTGCTGCTGGCCATCACCTGCAGGAGCAGCAGCAGACAAGATGTATTTAAATCAATGACAACAGAAACGTTAAGGATTACAGTAATTTCCTTTAAAAGTACATTTAGGTTTTCAAACAAAACAAATATAAACTACAAGTTAGTTTGCACTAAGTTTCATGTTAATTTGCTTTAAAGAAAAATGCATTTTCCACCAAATCTTCTAATTTATGATATTTTAGTCAGTTCAAAAGGAGGATTTTTGAATATTAGTGGGTGTTTTAAGAAAGCGGGTAAGTGCACAACTCACCATAGTGTGAACGTCCTCGTGGCTGTCTGTTTGGTTGTTGCAGGACATTCAGTCTGAAGAGGGACAAAAAAAAAATAGTAGTAAAAGTATTAATATACAAGCATCAACTTATGTTCACTGCATTTAAATGAGGATGGTTGTGTGGTTCAGTTTGCACAGCTGGAGAAATCAGTGCTTGATCTGTACACAGCATCCGTGATAGATCAGATAAGCTGCCACAAGTTTTCTAAAATTAGACATTTTCTTGGTGTTATTCTAATGTGTGATTGTGGTCATGAAGGGTAAGTTTATGTTCACTGTCAATTAGCTGATGCTGACATTAAGAAATGGCCTCCAGAAAAGATGTTGCCCACAAATTTTATTCTTAAAGAGAAAGCAGCTAAATAAATAAAATGTTAAAAAGCTTTTGTGTGCGTCACGTAAAACAATGATAATGAGTGTAACCCTCAGCTGCACATACTACCGGGTATATAAATACATAAATGGCCTCTGCTCAGTCGTCCATCTTCAAAGCCTTCTGTGAGAATGAGGTGGTGGGGTATCTGCAACATCAGGGAGGCAGCAGAGAAAACCTTGGGGTATATGTGCACGAGGACCGGAAGCTTATGCAGGAAGTGGAGATGTGAGGTCAAACTGACATAGATGCTGTACATCAAATGAATTCACAATGTGGTTTAGTGTGAAACCTTTACAGTACTTCACATCAAGGGGATACACAGGGGATGTTTGCTTCAAATGAAGTCTATATTTAAACATTTAATTATTACGACTTTGCAGATATGTGACAAACTGAATAGCCTACATCAGATGAACTTTTAAATATGAATTTATTTCATTCTGTTCATATAGTCAGACAGTATAATGTACTAAACTTACAAACAAAAGGAAAAGCAAAAGGAAGACAATCTATTTTTTTTAATCAGCTTTAGCTTTAAGTTTTAGAATAAAATGCACTTTCAGTAGTGAAATAGTTAGCTTTCATTTGCCATTCAGTAGGAAAACATGCATCACATCAGAGTAGATATTGCACAATTAAAACTCTACAAAGGCATCCTTAAATTCGGGTGAACACATTGGAATCATTAATATAGGCTGTGGCAGAATAAAGTGCATTCTCTCTCTGGATGAAGGTGAGGTACGGCTCAATATTTTGTGGTTCCTGTAATAGAACAGATAATATTGTTGAAGTAAAAAAGGAGTAATTTTTTCATTAAATGAACGTCATGTATAACGTGTACAGTACCACATCTGGACGACTGCTCTGTGGTTCCAGTTGTCCTCTGCTGTGTGAATGGACAAAGAATTTATTCACTCTCCCGAATGTATTAACAAAATTTGTACTTTTGAAAATTGTACACTTAATTAACAGCTATTATGCTTTACTGAAGATAATATTATTTCATATTAGTCTCTTACCTATGGTGAATTTTTCTGTAGATAACTAGCAGGATAACTCCGGTTATAATGATGAATATAATTACACCAATTAGAATTCCAACATTAACTAAAGATATTTCTGTTCCTGTTGTACTGCCGGGGTCTTCATCCTCTTAAACATTGTAAAGAAAACAAAATATAGAACATCAGAAGAGTAGCTCGGGTATTCATTTAATACAGAAACACTGATTATACTCATCATTATAGTATCATGTAATAATGTATAACTGGCATGATGTTGTATTATTAGTAAGTGCAGATATACGGACGCTGATATTCTTTATAATGTTACCAACCAACACACACCTGTGTCAGTAATAAGAGAAATATTTTGAGGGAAATGCACAAGATGTGAAACACAAAAGTTATAAAATAAATCATTTACCTTCCACAGTGATATTCGAATAATTGTTGCATCAGGACGTGAACACTCACAGGTGTAGTTCCACTATCCTCTGGTGTTAAACTGGTCAGGTGGAGAAACATAGTCCCGATTCTCTGCCAATAGTGTGAATCTGGAGTCACATTCATGTATAAAGTCCTGTCCATATTGATACATCAGACGACACTCTTCTCCTCTCATCTGTGTTCTGATCTTACAAACTACAAGTGTGATGATCTGCTGTGTTTCATTGGTGCAGATTGGAGTCACATCTGGTTTGCTCCCAATGGTTTTTGAAAGCTTCACAAGAGTTGCTGCAAACAATTACAATCAAAACTCACTTTGAAATACAATCACTGAGTTAGTATATATGCACAATAACAGTTTTCACTGCATCAAAAATAAGCAAATTATAGAGAATATTCTGTCGCTCTATAAGCTAAAGACAAACAGATTAACACAGAACATCTCGTATGAGTCAGAAACTATAAAAAGTAACTGCTGTACAGTACCTGTGCTGTCGATATAAAAAGTTAGCTGCAGAAGCAGAACAAAACACAGTTTCCATCTACCCATACTGGTTGAGACATCTAACCAACAGTGCAACTGCTGCTAGCGGCGTCCAGTAAACTCTAACGAAGGGAGGGTACACAGACCCCTTTGCACTGTTCTCTGTTACGTAAACCTCAAACTCTCTCAGCTATGTAGCTGGTGTGAAGTCTTAAGGAAGTGCTGCTGCTGCTTTCATCTTATTCTCAGATGAAAGATACAAAAAATGATGATGACTGTAGAAATGAAGTGCCAGAAAAAATGTCATCCTCTTATCTGCTAAACACTGACAAAAAAAGAAAGAAAGAAAGAAAATCAATCAGCATTCAACTCCTGCAACAATTAATTAATTTAATCTTTTAAAGTGTGAGCAAACAAACTAACCTTCCACAGTAAGATCAAGATGGGTCACATGTTCCTCTTTGATACAAACACTCACAGATGTGTTTTCACTCATGCATACTGGAGTGATGACTGTGTATATAGTGGACAGAGCTTCCAGGTCGGTGAAGTGAAGCTAACGTGTTAAACATGCATTATTTCTTATTTCTTATTATTTGTATACCAAAATTAGCTGTTAACAGTGGAAAAAGCAGATCAAAACACTGTTTCCATCCATTAAATTGGCCAAAAGATCTAAAGCTGATTACACAAAACTATCCTGACAAGAGTAATGTAATTTTATTGCGTACCTGACAACTCTGATAGCACTCTTGACTTCCTGTTTGGGCCGTCTTTCCCGTTTAGGAGGAAAGCAGGAAGTGCATCACTAATCAGGACCTACTCGTCCTCAGCTATATCAGCTGAAGGTGTCAGTCTCTCTCTCTCTCTTCCTGGGCTTATGGTTTGTTGTTTGGGTTAGACTTTTCTTGGTGTTAATTTGTTCATTACACTTACACTGTCACTCAGACAAACACTACTGATGTATCGATATACTTTATACTATCATTGTTTCACTTATATTTTGTTAAATAAATATTTAGTTCAAAAGTCACGTGTTGTCCTCTTGTCTTTGCCCCACCCTCGAGTCGGCTGGGACACAACATCAACATCTTGTATAAGTTCATGTGAAACGTTCTAAAACAGAAGTGAACATGAATTCTTGCTTCCACTTTCAAGTTATAATACAGTATCAGCATCTCTGGGAAGCATCATGCTCATCCTGATGATGGTAAAACTCCTCAAAACTCCCTTTCAGGTGCTTCGGTGCAAAGTAAAAACAGATGCATCTTTGAGTGAAATAGAAACAGAGAATTAAAGTCTCAATGTATTTAATTCACTCATTGTCAGATTAACCAGATTAATTAGTTAAATCCAAAAACCTTTAAGGATTTTCAAATGTTATGAATGTTTGGGACATAAGTGGTTCAAATTAGTTGCTCTTAATGTCCAGTTATTAATCATTTATATTCGTGTATATAATGGTGATACAACCAAACACTCCTGTTAAGTGTAAGGGTTAACTGAACATTATTAATAATTAAGTGTGTAAGGATTTGTGTGATACAGCATTTATGACGTGTTTCATGATTCCAATGTTTAATAAAAAAAACAACAACAACAAATCTATAAAGAAACCAGTGTTTTATTATTTCATTATGAAAAGAGGAATACATTAGACAAGTTATTGACATTTGGTTTCCATAATTTCATAAATTTCGCCAATTGGATCAGTCTCTGTTCCGTCTATTTTCTCTTCCAAAAAGAGAATCGCTGTGTTGTTTCGGGCTGAATTTATCACGCCGCCATGTTGATGGTGCACTGAGGACATAGTCTGGTACAAATCACTTGCTGGCTGTTGAAGGCTTGTGTAGGTGTTATCTGGGTCATCTTTGTCCTATAAATAAACATATCAAAAAGGTCTAATAAGGCATCCTTTGTAAAGGTTTATAAATGTAGTAATTAACGTGTAGTGGTAATTAAAGTGGTACTTAATCT